CCCTTTACTCTCTCCTCCCCTGTCTCTACGGCGTTTGCGCATGCGCAGAACGGGACATCCATCACATCCACTCAGTACATTTCAATAAATATATTGCAATAGTTCATATAAATCAGTCTAATCCACATAATAGGTTATTTAAAAAGAGACTAGTCTTCAGGGGATTTTATTTCTACATTTATTTATTTTAATGTTATTATTTATCAGAATCAAAACCAGGTTTATCACCAGGTACTGATGGGTACAGTGATGAATCTCCATGGGGCCCAAAGTGAGGTCTGAGGCCATGATGGGGACAGAGATGGAGCTCCATCATGGGGCCCAAAGTGAGGTCTGAGGCCCTGATGGGGACAGAGATGGAGCTCCATCATGGGGCCCAAAGTGAGGTCTGAGGCCCTGATGGGGACAGTGAAGGAGCTCCATGGGGCCTCAGTGAGAGACATGTGTTCATACTGCAGGAGACTAAAGGGTTAACATATTTAACATACAGATATCAGCGTGAAACCCCCTCCCCTCATTACTGACTTTAATACAGTTATATTTTATATTATAGGTTTTCTGACGGGTAATGTTTACATATGCTAATGAGGCGTTGTTGTTGTTAAATGTGTGGATAGGAACAAAAAATAAATAAATAATAAATAAATAAAATAATATATTAAATTAAAAAAAGACATTTAAATGCCATAAAAAAAAGCATTTTCTGCATGTTTTTACCAGGCTTTTAGTAATAAAGTGTGTTTAAAATGTGTGTATTCATTGCCATGAGTGGAATAAAATAAATCCATAACCTAAACAACAACAACAACAACAACAACAACAACATATATACACACTCCATAAATCAGAAAATACTGAGAACAGACACAAAAAATCATTTTCTGCGTGTTTTTGATAATAAAGTGTCTCTAAATGAGTGTGTGTGAGGCCTGATGGTGCAGAGTGTGGTGTGTGTGTGTGTGTGTGTGTGTGTGTGTGTGTGTGTGTGTGTGTCTGTGTGTGTGTGTGTGTGTGTGTGTTAGAGTTTGAGAGGGGGAGTAAACAATCTTATTTATCCGGCAGCATCTTCCCGTTGTTCCACCACAACATTTTTAGGGTTTGGCGACAGATTTACATTTCTCTGAGCAGGAATTCCCCCTCTGTCCACACCGTGCCACCAACCAGTCTGTGTGTGTGTGTGTGTGTGTGTGTGTGTGTGTGTGTGTGTGTGTGTGTGTGTGTGTGTGTGTGTGTGTGTGTGTGTGTGTTAGAGTTTGAGAGGGGGAGTAAACAATCTTATTTATCCGGCAGCATCTTCCCGTTGTTCCACCACAACATTTTTAGGGTTTGGCGACAGATTTACATTTCTCTGAGCAGGAATTCCCCCTCTGTCCAACACCGTGCCACAAACAGTATGTGTGTGTGTGTGTGTGGTGTGTGTGTGTGTGTGTGTGTGTGTGTGTGTGTGTGTGTGTGTGTGTGTGTGTGTGTGTGTGTGTGTGTGTGTGTGTGTGTGTCTGTGTGTGTGTGTGTGTGTGGTGTGTGTGTGTGTGTAGAGCCCTGAGGCGTCCGTCCATCAGAGAGATCTTTGTCAGGCATCGAGATGAATTCAGAGCTGCTGTTCTCACCAGATGTTCAGTGTGGTGTGTGTGTGTGTGTGTGTTTGTGTGTGTGTGTGTGTGTGTGTTTGTGTGTGTGTGTGTGTGTGTGTGTGTGTGTGTGTGTGTGTGTGTGTGTGTGTGTGTGTGTGTGTGTGTGTGTGTGGAGCTGATATCAGTCTTTTATTAAAGTGTATGGGATGTTCATAAAGGGAAGATATGATGAACATCTTGCCAAGGTTCACCACGACAAGTCATAAATAATTCAGGCTGACAGAAGGTTAGCATGATGCTAATGGCTATATTTACTGAATCACAGATGCATTGGGATCCTATATACACTGTGTATATATATTACACATTACTCTACTGTCATAACTCCACCAGTTCATAACGCTTCTTGTTCCACAGTTTATATGTATTTTCTTTACCTTTTCTCCATTGCATCTGTGTTTGTGTGATATGTTGTGAAGTCAAACAAATGTAATGAATTATTATTATTATTATTAAAGTCACTAGTTATTCTACTCTCTGCAATGTAACAACTTGTTGCATAAATAAGTCTCTAAAGGATGTGTTTTAGGCGTGTTGTTCCAGCTTGTATTACACAGTTTTTCCATATGAATTAGCACATTGGAAAAGCTGCTAAATGAGGCTTGGTGCAGTTCATCTGTGATGTCTCATGCTCGCTGCAGCTCTGATTTTGATCAACGTATTCTCACCTGTCGCTCATTTGAAGACAGTTTTGCACCAAAGATGTGTTGATATCTAAGTGTCAAAAAGTTGTTTTAAATGTGCGTTTGCAACATGTACACCAAAGCAGGAAGGTGTGTGTTCATCAGCTGCAAACACACATCCTGACTGTCACACCTGGGCACAAACCAAAGTGTGTGTGTGTGTGTTTGTTATGTATGAAGCTCTGCATGGCCTCTCACCACCTGTCAACATGTGGCAACACACTCACACACACACACACACACACACACACACACACACACACACACACACACACACACACACACACACACACACACACACACACACACACGCACACACACACACACACACACACACACACACACACACACACACTCACGGTGTCCTGAGTGATGGATGGGAGCAGGAACATATGGTTTGCTATTGTTCAGTAAATCCTGAAGCTCTGAATGAAGGAAATAACACCATGTGTGTGTGTGTGTGTGTGTGTGTGTGTGTGTGTGTGTGTGTGTGTGTGTGTGTGTGTGTGTGTGTGTGTGTGTGTGTGTGTGTGTGAGTGGAATAGCAAATGGGCCCAAAAAAGGACAAACACTGGGGAAAGTTGCAAACTGAATGTTTTTCAATCAATATTGTCATGTTTACGTCTGAAGAGTTTCTTATATCTCTTAGCGTTGTGTGTGTGATCTAATGTTGTTTTTAATCACGCCATCTTCCCTGATATTGCTAATCTCTCACATTATCTTCATCGCTGCGAGGCTTTCTCAAAACAATCGTCCCACGACCTTCGATCTGAAGCTCAGGTTCTCATGACCCGGGCTTTAGCATTTCATAGAGAGTGGAAGCAGCTCCTACAGAAACATATAAACATATACACTATTCTATCCTGTACAAAGCAGAGGAAGGTGTTTAATAATACCTGATCTTCTGGGAGGTCTCCTGGAAGAGAAACGGGTGCAAACCCATCGTGCCAAATCTCTTCAGGATGCAGATATAGAAACCCAAATGTTCCTGTTCACACTCAGAAACATCAGTACTCTGTGAGATCACCCAGGACCATGTGATATTAAACATTGGGAATAAAGTGTTTTTGAAAAGCCTTCAAAAAGTCATATTTCTGATTCCCAGCTTTGTTATTAAGCCGGTCAAAAACATCTTATTTTCTCTGTGTGTTCGACTGAAATACCACGGCCTCACGAATAAAACTGGAACCACATTTCACTTTAAGTGAGAACAGAGACACAGCGGCCTATATGTGTGTGTGTGTATGTGTGTGCGTGTGTTTCTGTGAGTCCACATGATCCAACACACACACACACACACACACACACACACACACACACACACACACACACACACACACACACACACACACACACACACACACACACACACACACACTTTTATTATTTTAACATCTTCGTGTTTGTCCGTGGCACCCATCAAAGTATCTTTAAACCCGTCACACACACTCTTTGTCCCTTTGTGTGTGTGTGTGTGTGTGTGTGTGTGTGTGTGTGTGTGTGTGTGTGTGTGTGTGTGTGTGTGTGTGTGTGTGTGTGTGTGTGAAGCTGCAGCAGGATGAACCCAGATAGCAAAAGACATTAATTCAACATTGGATTTTGGTTAAATTGGTTATTTTTGGTTGAGGTTGTAAAATCAATGTTGATTCGATGTGTTATTACAGATACCATTTCAACGTTTGAAAAAATGTTGTTGACTCAATCAACGTTGACATTTCCTACAATGAATTTACATTGTTTCAACGTGAGACCAACTGCTCCCCTCCCCCTCCCCTATACTTGTATTTAAACACAGTATAGAGAGGCGAAGTCCCTCCCTTTCCGGGGGAGCTCCATGGGACCTTACTTCGGAAAAATAATGTATTGAAGTCAATGGAGAGAGAAAGATTATCTTTCGATCCCGTTTGAATTGTGCCATGAATTACACACATGATGTTTGTCAATCTTAAAAAATCATTTCCATGTCAAAAAAGTCACAGTTTGTCGTAAAACTGTTGAAATATAAGACTATGAAAAATACGCAACTAGAAAGACTACAAATCCCAGAGTCGCGTAAGTGATGTCACAATTGTTTTCCTCCACTAAGAGATAGCTAAGATCAGCGCCATATAGATATAATCTATCTATATGGCGCTGGCTAAGATAAGATAACTTTAACAAGATGCCTGTGTGCTTAGTACCAGGTTGTTATCATACCAGCAATGGGTCTTGCTCGTTCTTTCGCTTCCCGTCTGATGAAAGGACCAGGAGTGTCTGGATCAAGCTAGCTAGTAGCTAGCACGTTAGTTAGCATTACAGCCTTGTCATTTGTATTAGCCTTAACATGAAGTAACATGAAGTAACCCAAAATGTTAAACAGTAAGAGTAGTAGTCATATTTCGTGAACCCTTTGAAGAGTACTGTCACCGGTGTGATCATTCTATAATACACCATTTAAGCCCGGGGGAGAAATGCTAACGCTAACGCTACATTAGCTTCGGCGATCTTTTTTACTTCATGCTATCTGCACAAATGGTTGACATTAAACATTAAAACGACCAGGCAGTTCAGAGAGAATCAAAGGAAGGCAGGCAGGCAGCTTTGCATGACTTTCTTCAGGACGTGTTTCATTGTGGTGATAGTGCAACACAGTCTCACGGCATTTCGTGTTATAGTCACGAAATTAATCTATTGATTCGTGTTCACC